GGCCTCTCTGGCCTTTATATATTTTTTCTTATTGTGTGATTTCTATCAAAAGCGTCAGACAAACCTGTTGTCACCTGTTGTAGGATGGTGCAGCAGAAAAATAAAGTCCTTTCTTACTTTTCCAAATGTATTTGCTACACCTACTCTATCCCCCTTAATGTTATAATTTTCAGTTTGGTTGACAGGGTTTCAGAGAAGGGCTCATTTGTAGGTGGTGGCGAATCTGGCATTTTGCCCACCCACTTTAAAAAAAAGATGCAGATCAGACACAAAAGACGCCTGTCAGTGTGACTCCAGCCTTCACAATGACCACAAAAGAGGTTGAACTGTGGGGCTTTGAACTGAAATTCATTGTAACGTTGTGTTAAAAAAATATATAGAAAAACGCAGGCCCAGCCCATCTAGGTTCTACTCAATAGTGACTGAAAATTAGCATTAGCCAACTCCAGGTTCTCCACAGTCAAATGTGTTACAGGAAACGTGTGTCCTTTTGATAATTAACAGCTCTGACTGAGACACAACCTGTCACCGGTAATATTTCTGACATATCTTGCTTGTTAAGTATGTATGAAAATACCTCAACAGAGCTAGCTAGCTGCTATTGAACATTTCGACACAAGCGTTGCTTTGGAGCAGATAACAGTGTTCCTTTGATGCTCTGGAAGCCCTGAATTATGTCTGCGTACAGGAAGGCGTTGATGTAGAGTTGTGGCAGGTTTCTGTGGTGGATTTAATGCCACCCCGGCTAACATGAAGTTAGATAAATCAGTAAGGGGGGTGGGGGGGCAGTGAGGCCAGCGCTAAGCTAATCATGTAAAAGCAGTGAGGAGCAGCGGCAAAGGAGGAAACGTATTCCCTCAAACGCCTCAGTTTACACGGCTAATTTATGCACCGACAACCTCATCAGTCACATATTATCGGGCACCCCTCTCCGCGGCGCTAGCTACCGTCGACGTTGCAGCCTTCAGCGGGAGCTTTTTCCTCACCTTTCCTCTTGAAAAACGACATGACGGGATTCACACTCTGGACGTTTCCTCAGCTCACTGACACCATCCCGTGGATTCGCGGTTGTCTTCATTCAAATGCAACTGTCGCGTACACTCCTGAGCTGGAAACGGGTTATTGTCGCAGCCACGGCTACCGCTGTCAATTAAAATATTTCTGCAAATCCGAAACCCAGTTCGGCAGCCATATTGTCAATAAACGTCTCACTTCCGGGCTGGTGCGGCAGCAGCATTGTGGGAAATGGTGTACCGCCTGCGTTGGTCAGTAGAGGGCGCTCTTTGAACGTGAAGAATATTAAAGCTATAAAAGTCACCTTTGATAAGTGATTTGGTTTTTACATTTTGATAGAAGTATTCAAAAATTTTAAATAAAATAAAAATAAAAACAAATTAATTTAATTCATTTAATTATTATATTGGAAACATGGTATGCCCACAGTGAAACAGATAATATTAAAAGCCTGTTTGCCTGTTGGCTATACATGTAGCTGTACAAGAACCTTTAAACAGCCTTTAGGGAAAATTTCTTAAACGTTCCTTCCAAAAGGTTTCCCCAAATACTAGGGGGAAACATTTAGAAAGCCTCAAAGTTCTACTATCACCCAATCAGACGGTAGCAATGTAATTCATTCAGACACAAAGACATGGTTGCTGAAGTTCCAACAGAACATCAGAATAGGAAAGAAAGGTGATTTAACTGTCTTGTTACAATCGAGGTATGCAGAAGAGCATCTTCGAACACACGTTGAACCTTGAAGCAGATGGACTAAGCAGTAGACAACCACACCACGTATCACATTTGTCTGTTAAAAAAAGCAAAGAGGGCCTACAGTTTGCACCGGCTAATGAAAACTGGGCGATAGAAGATTAGAAAAACGTGGCCTGGTGATGAATGTTTAGTGATACAACTTTCGAATGGTAGGGTCAAAATTTCATGCAGACAACATAAAAACATGCATCTATCCTTATTTGTCTCAGTGGTTGAGGCTGGTGCCATGGTGTGAGGGATATTTCCTTGGCACACTTTGACCCCTTGGTACCAACAGAAAATCAGTTCAGCCTTTCCCACAACTTACTTGAACCTTACCAAACAGAATATATAGTTATTTTACAACACACATTAAAAAAAAAAGCCACTCAGAAGAAAATCATTGTCTTGGTTTATTAATTAAATGACAAAGTTCTTTACAAGTAACACATCTTTCCATCGGTTTTGCTAAGACAGTTTTCCACTGAGGAAAGATTTATTTGAAATGCCACGAGATGGATTTAAAACACTAAAATCTGATTTACTTTAAAACAATATCGCTGGTTAGGTGTACACAGTTATACGCTTACACCACTGGTCTTTCTAAGCACCAGCACTGCTATTCTACCCTGTTTCAGCAAGTGGAAGTATAAGAAAGCGATGTGAGGTGGATATTAATCAAGCACATTGTGCACACACCCACAAGAGGCCTAATCATACAAATAAGTGAATCCAAGGTGTGGGCAGGTTGGCCACAGAGGTTTTTAAAAAGCTAGCTTTCTCTAAGAAGCTTTACCTACTGCAACAGTCTAGCCTGCAACATGTTGCACAACCTTTTTGATTGCAGTAGAGTCGGCAAGCATTAATGTAGGCCAAGGTCCAAAGTACATCAGCGTTGTGATGTCACTGTCCACCTTTCTTTTCTTTTTTCCCACACAATTCAGATCACTTCATTGGGATTTTTTTATTTTATTGATTCATGTGCAGTGACTTTTTTATGTGTGAAATGTAACATGCTTTAAATGAATCAACGAGTCGCCTCAGTTTAGATTATCAGACGATTCTGTGCTGCCAACATGTTTTATGCAGTTTTTCAATCTCGTCCGACACCGTGGGTCTCCTTCGGCCTGTCGATGCGGTAGACAAACTCTGCAGGCATGAAATAGCCCAGATACTCCACACTGTCAGGTGTAGTGTCTATGTAGTAGTGGCCACCTTCTCCGTGGTGACTGAAGCAGTGGGTGTGTTCCACACGCAGGTCCAGGCCCTGCAAAGCAACCAGGCGGACATTACAAAGAAGCCTACTGAACAAAAACACCGTAATCAGGTAATAAAACTATAACCAGATCTTTTTCTATTTCTGCATCACGCTGAGGTGCGAGTCTATTGGCTTTAACTTACAGGGTCTCTGGATACGAGCACCGACTGGCAGATGAGTGGAGCGCTGACCTCAAAGTGCTTGAGCCAGTTGTTGACGTCATCGTTGGTGTTGAGGGGGCAGACTGAGAACTCTCTTGGCTGTTGACAGGCAAGGAAACAAATCAAAGCACGTGGCTGTGCCAGCAGCAGTCTGTAACATGCTCTGTGTCATGTCCACTATTTACCATGATGTGGATTTTAGCCTTCCCTTTCTGGATGATGAAGGTGCCTCCCAGGGCCAGACTTTTATCAGGGTAATGAGCTTCAAGGCTCGTCCGCAAGGCCGTCACCAGACTGTGACTTCCTGTTCTCCTCTTTGCCTGAACCTCTATGACCTGCAGAGGCACACGGGTGAAGACTACCAACTCAGCATGTTTAGGCACACAACTCTTGTTAATGTTTATTCTCTCATTAAATGGGGCTAAAGTTCACGCAAAACAACATCAGCAATGTTATTAACTTACAGATAATTATGTTTAAGTATAACTAGTTCGTTATTTTCCAAAAGCCAAATCAGGATGAGAGTGCATTTTTTAAAAGGCTATGACTGATTACCTTTCCAGGTTTCCCTTCGCAAGCATACAGATTTCCCAGCAGCCCAAAGTTGCAGTCTGTGAACTTGTCGCTGTATTTTTCTAGCAGACACTGGTCGTCAGCTGGATTGATGGAGGAGAAGTAGCTGCTGTTCACTGCGGGCCTTCCCCCTGCCTCGGTCAGAACCAGAGGCATCAGCTGTGGACAAGAACATTCATTCCACTGACTGCTGCTGTACCAAACTGCCCTTTCAAGATTATAATGACAGCTAGTTTATACTGAGGTCATTTGCTGAGTGAAGCACTTTGAATTAGAAGGAAGGCAATTCACCTCTGCGTTCATTCCAACTATTCTATTGGGAGCAGCTGCTGCACCGAGGATGAAAGCGCCTGGAAGTTCCAGCTCCTTTGATACAGTGTTCATGTTGTATTCCTGACAGTAGAAGAAGATGCTGAATATGCTTTAGCAAAACCTTTCATTAAAGTTTCTCAATGCAATTCTTTTATTTTAAAACCTACCTTTTCCTTTCTGACCAGAGGCACCAGATATGGCACACCACCAACATCAGTGATGCGAGGGCTTCCACACAAGCCTGCAGGGTACAGGCGAAATTAAGAATCTTTCAGGGTGTTTCTGATACGCAGTCTGCAAATGAAGCTCATCCCCACTCATATGCATGTTTTATGAAGTGTTTTAAATTGACCAAAATGCATATGCATTCGTTTTTAATCATCACACTTGTGTTCTTGATAGGCTCCTACCTTTGACAGGAAACTGGAAGGGTTCTTTGGTGAGATCCGGACACTCCACAACACTCACTTGAACTTCAGCAAAGTTGGTTTCCAGTCCTGCTTGTAATACTGCAACCAAACACCTTCATTAGCGCCGAGTCACATGAACACGCATGCACAACTTTGCGCTTATATATCAGAGCTTACCGCCACGCAGCTCTTCTAGATCTGGGGCGTGCAGCTGAACCTTCTCGGTTTTGCTGGTGTCTGCCATAGATCCACCTGAGAGTGCGCGCGCTGGGATACAGTTTAGAGGTGCAGGGAAAGTGGATAAGAAAAAGCGGACAGGACCAGGGTTAACTTCAAACAAAGAGTAAATAAGAACAAGATGATAACCCTCCCCGGAAGTGTTTCCTCATCCAATTTAAAGACATTGGTTATTTCTTTCACTTAGAAAATCGAACAAAAAATTGCCCATATTCGCCGTAATAATTAATAATTCCCTCTAGATAAAAAGGAAAGCATTATTATTGGTTGGCTCTAGATGTGGGGTCTTTGGGCTCGGGAAATCTCCCAAGTCTATGAACTGCACAAGAGCTCATTAAATAATGCAGACCACGACAAGGACGATGAATGTGATTCACACATCAGGAGACACTTTACATTTGTCGCAAGTTGCTGAACAGATTGTGGATATATGTAGTGTATAAGCCGGTTTGGTGCACAGTCTCATACAGAAAACGAGCTGCTCGTGCTTCGCTGTCTGAACGGAACTAATACCATTATTACTGCTAATTGCAATATTAATATTAATTCTATCTCTACGTGAGGCTCATTGTTATGTCGAGTTGATGCAGGAGCTCAGCTGAAGACAAAACCGGAAGTGTAAACACTGTAACCTCTTGATTCTTTTAGTATCGTCTGTCTCCTCTTTGGCGATTGGTCAGATGACCATCGTCATCTCGGCGACGTCTAAACACTTCCAGGTCGAATCGCATGTGGAGTGTTTTGGTGAAGATTCTTGTATTTACGTGTTTCATGTCTAAGATTTTTCACGGATCCGTCGGTGAGTCCTACGATGGCGAAAGTGCGTCGGTCCAATGAGTGGACTGAATCCGACGCTGTTGCTGAAGTTGCCGCAGCGGATCCATCGGATTTTGTGCTGGAAACGTTCCCTCCTGAATATGTGGACAGAATTTCGAGGTTTATAGAGTCTTCTTCTGTTCTTTGTTCGAGTCAGAACAGAGAGGATGGTGCAGCCGAAGGAGAGCCCACTGAAGCAGACAGGTGAGGAGTGGAGGTCACTCCCGCTCAGATACTCTGACAAATGTATCTACATGTCTGTATTTTTCACAAACAGCACACACATGCAGACACACACACACTAAAGATAACCCCAAATTTCGTGAACGCAATATTAACATTGTATTTCATAAAAGAGCACTTGGATTTGTAGGTAATGCAAAGAAAAACTGATAGTCTTCCTTGCAATGATCCCATAACACGGTACAACAAGGTAAACAGTGTACTGTGTCAGAAGATTGACATCAGTCTGCTACATAAATGCTCTATATTGTAATGTAATAAAGGAAGAACGGTCAGGTATCCTCCATCCATCCTCTGTACTCTTCTGCACCTTTCTCCTTGCCACAACACCACACATCCTTCCTCCTCATGGTCAGGGTGTTACTGCTTTTGTACACCACTCATTATCCTGTACACGATACTGCACTCAAGTTCAGTAAACATATTTTTCCAGTGCCTACTTTTCAGTGGGAAACCTCCAGTTTTGCAGAATAAAAATAACGTTTGATCGCTAGGGTCTGAGCTCATTTCTCCAAACTAATATATCACATATTAAATTGAGTATAAAAATAAGTAAGCCCTTGCCCCAAAGGCCTACAGGTGGAGGGGCTGAAACAGATGTTGGTGATTGAGAAAAACCTCAACAATACCTTTTTAAAAGTTAAATACAGTCACTTTCCTGTGCGAACATCAGAATGTGGAGTAAATGTGATTTAAGTGACTTTGAAAGTGGCATAGTTGTTGGTGCTGAAGTCCAAGTATTTCACAAACTGCTGATCTATTAGGATTTCCCCCCAGAGCCATTGCTCTGGTTTACAGAGAATGATCCAAAAAAGAGAAAATATGCTGTGAACATTATTGAAGCCAACAGTTACTCAATTACATTTTACATCCAAGATATGCAGAAGAGTATCTGTCTGCATTATTCCATCCTGCTTTATATCAGCATCGAAGACGACTGAAGTGATGTAATGGTGTGGGGGATATTTTCTTGGCACACTTTAATCCTCTTGATGCCAACCAACCCTAAATTTGACGCCAGAGCGTGTCTGAGGATCGTTGCTGACTATGTCTCTATCGCCAAAGTCAAACCATCTTCTGATGTCTGGCATGGTCGTATCATTTCAAACTGGTTTCTTGAGCACGACAATGAGTTCTTTGCGCTCAAATTGCCTCTGTGGCCAGCAGATCTCAAAATCAATGTACACTTCACAAAGTAGCCGGTGATTTTAGACGCCCAAATCTGAGGATGTGCTTAGGACCAAATTCTAGAAAAATGGATTCGCACTTGAATGTGTTTAAAATATGTCTGTTTGTCTGTTGCCTCCAGGTCATGAAAATGTTTTGAAAACTGCAAAAACTCTTGAGCTTGACACACTGACCATATAATTGTGTCTGCGCAGTGACTCAGCGGACAGCCTGTTCATCACTCAGAAGCCTGTACCTGAGGCCGTGAGGTCAGGAAGACGGAAGCGCCGCGGCCTACGATCAGGTCTCACGTCTCCCAGAGAGCGAGAGGAAAGTGAAGATGACAGTTCACCTTCGGCCTCCCTTCAAGACACCAGAAGTAAAAGGAAAAAAAAAGAGACAAAACTCAGAATGCCAAAGTACAGTTTCCCGTTCCTCAAAGACAAGATGCCGAAAGCTAAAGGCATTTTTTTAAGTGAAGTGCAAAACACGAGGCTACATGTAAGCATAAACAACAGCAGCAGAGCACACGCTTGTTACAGCAAATGCCAGCAAATGTTAGAACTAAAGCCTTTTATTTGTTCCAGTATTCTTCAGTGGGGGCCTTCTTTGATTGTATAAGAAAGCTGCAACAGAGCTATCAAACCGTAGAGGATCTGGAGTCAAATTTACCAGCAATTGACATGAATGGAGAGTGCATATCTCCAATATCAGAGTAAGTCTTTAATGCTAGTTGAAATGTTGTTTTGTTACCGATTTCCTTAGTTGCCTTTAAAGCTTGTTTTTATGTTTTTACACTGTATTTCACTTCCTTTTATGCATTTGAATCATTTTTTTCTGTCTCATGTTTGCTATTCTCACTACATTGTAGAACACTAATATATATTGGAAACTGGTGAATAATGTAGCGAAGAAAATGGCAAAGAAAGCAGGCTGTGTTTCAGATGCCTCAAAGTTGCCACTTTTTCTTCTGGAACATGTTCAAGCAACTCCCGAGTCTTGTCAAAAGAGGAGTGGTGGGATGTTTTCCTCCTTTATGTATTTAGACCATGAGAGACACAACTAGGATCATTCATAACAAAAATCGAAAAATGAATCATCGGACCATGAAGGTGAAGTTCTTGACATTCTCCATCCTCTTTGGCCTTCAGGGACTGATGCTTGTCTTTGTCAAGAACTTGAAAGTAAGTTGAGTCCTCAAAACCCATCGCATGCGATGAAACTGTCAGACGACATGAGGTCTACTCCAGAAAAGTGTTAATGAAAGTTCCCTTTACTGCAGAGGGGGTGTTTGCAGAAGGTACCAGCCTGATGAAACAAACTATTAACATCACCTCAGATTAGAGCTGCAGACATATCTCCCTTTTGAAGGAGTGATGATTTTCTTCCCACATAAATTTGCCTAACATCTGCTGGCACAGCCACGTAAAGCTCAGGTCTCAAATCTGTCAAAATGTGAGCCGATTTGTAAAAGCACTAATGCAGAACTGAGGCAAAAGAGGTGGGTGTGAATTAGCCAATAGTAAGAAGAGAGCTGTGTGGACTAAGACACGAGGAGTGGACATTAGAGCAGTTGGAACTGGACTCTGAGAGAGGGTGAAATCTGTCACCAGAGTGTAAAGTTGAATGTGGAATCTGTCGGATTTTGCTTTGTTTACATCCTTGAAGTGGCATTTCTTCCAAAAAGAAACCTTCATTGAACAGATGTATTCAAACATATTACTGACACGTTTTACCAGTTTATCAGCTGCATGTAAAGTACTTTGAAATACACTAAAGCATATTAAAGGCATTAAGAAATACAGCTGAAATGTTTGGTAATTCAACAACTTCCTTTCTTCTATTTCAGGGGAGAAGAAGAAAATGTAGGAGACGAGGACATGAAAGTGGTGGTAAGCAGGCTCTTGATACTGTAATGAGCACTTTATGAGCATGTACAGGCCCTAAAGTTGTGTGTCATTCGACAGGCAAAGAAGCATTTTGTGATACCATCAAAAAGGAGACACTCACAGTCCTGGTATAGCGAGAAGAAGAGAAATAGTAAAGGAAAACAGTGGAGGGAAGGACTTACTGGTGATGAAATGCCACCAGGAGGATGGGGGGTTGTGTTACATAAAATACCAGCTAAGAAACCCTCATTGAGAGCTGCACAGTCTTCAGATTTGGAGAGCTCTGATGATGAAGATTCTTCTTGTAGCATTCTGAGAGAGAAGAGGACGAGTAATAAACAGCTCACACCCCAAAGCGTCCGCGCTCAAACCGTAACTCTAAAGACAAACAGTAAAAAGAGAGACAGCTCTGAGGGAAAAGAAATGGAGGATGAGCTGAGTGACAGCAGTCCTCCACAAAGTCCAAAGGAATGCATGCAAAAGTGCAGAGTTTCAAACAAAGAGGAGCTATCCCAGCAAGGGCGGGGAGACAGTGAGCCTGCAGACCAAAGTTTCTTCCAGAGTGACACCAATAATGTTGCTACATGCAGTGAAACCAAAGTGAAGAAGAAGCAAAATCACAGAGAACATAATGAAAGTGCAGAAGAAGCTGATAATGAAAGTCAGGAGGAGGTGGAGGTTCAGTATGCTGCACTGACTGTGAATGAGGAAATCACTGAGGTGGAGGAAAGTCCTCATCTGTCACAGACCATCAGCGAACTGGAGCTTAATGAAAAAAATAGGATGGAGGAGAGTGACATCTCTGATCCAGAACAGAGGAAGAAGAAAAAGGACAACCAAGAAAACGAAAATACAGAAGAAGAAAAGAGCCAGGACGAGCTGGAGGATCAGCACACTGCATCATCTTTGAATGAGGAAATCACTGAAGTGGAAGAGACTCAACATCTATCACAGACTGTTAATGAGCTGGATCTTAATGCAAAGATCGGTTTGGAGGACAGTGACGTTCCTGATTCACAACAGAAGAAGGTGAAAGAGGACAAAGAAATAAAAAATGCAGAAGAGGAAAAGAGCCAGAGTCAGGACGAGCTGGAGGATCAGCACGATGCCGCATCTGTGAATGACAAAATCACTGAGGTGGAGCAGGAGACTCCCTGTTTGTCACAGGTCACCAGCGTGCTTGATGTTACCGGAAAAACTGTGATGGAGGACAGTGACGTGACTGATACACAACAGAAAAAGAAGAAGAAGAAGAAAAAGAAGAAGGTGAAAGAGGACAACAACGAAAACAAAAATGCAGAAGAAGAACAGAGCCTGAGTCAGGATGAGCTGGAGGTTCAGGGTGCTGCAGCATCTGCGAATGAGGAAATCATTGAGGAGGAGGAGAGTGACATTCCTCATTCACAACGGAAGAAGAAAAAGAAGAAAAGAAAGAAGTCACGTGAAGAACACGAAAAGGAGAAGATGAAAAAGAAAATGTCAGAAAGCAACGATGGTGAGGAGGAAGATGTCGAGCGGTTAAAGTGCAACACCGCTCCTGAATCTCTTCACGATGATGTGGAGATACCAACAAAGAAGAAGAAAAAAGGAACAGAGAAAAAGAAAGAGTTTAAAGATGAAGGTGAAGGTTTCAGAAATACTGAAGCTTTTCAGGAAAACCTTGAGAAAACTTTGGAATCCAGTTGTGCAAAAAGAAAAAAGCACAAAAAGTCATCTCAAAGAGATGAATCTAACACTCCCGAAGATGAAGAAAATCCACAGAAAACAGATGAGATTGAAGACCATGATGCTGGTTTACTGATGACCAAGAAGAAGAAGAAAATGAAACAAATGTCAAGCATGGAGGGCTCCAATGACACTGTGGCACAAAGCTCTGATCTGTTGTCTGTGCAGCGGAAAAAAAAGAAGAGGAAATCTTTCTTCCTCGGTGCTGATGTCGAGGGAAAAGCTGCTCATTCAGAGGAAGAAAAACATTGTCCTTTGCAATCTGTGGCTGCTAAAAAGCCAGGCGTCAGCACCGGCAGTCCTGCTGAATCAGCAGAAATCACTGTAAGTTTGGACGAATCTAATGACAGAGTCAGGAAAAAGAAGAAGAGGAAAATGTTAACTGAACAAGAGAGTGTGGGAAAAGATCCGGAACCAGATTTTGAGGAACTTGAGGAGGCCCTGTCTGACACAGGGCTGAAGAAGAAGAAAAAGAAACGTAAGAGGAACGAAACCAAGTCAGCGACCCCTGTGAAAGGATCAGAAAATGCTGATACAAGATGCTCTGATGAGGCTGTGGTGTTAAAAAAGAAGAGGGAAAAAAATATCCAAGAAACTCCAGCAGCTGCAAGTGAAGAAACTGACTCAGAAAGTCTGTTTGAACATGCTTCACCATCTTTAGATACACCCAGAAAAGATAGCAAAAAGAAGACAAAGGGGAAATCTGCTCATAATGTTTCACTATGGAGTAAAGAACAATCTTATGGATGTTTAATCACATCCAAAGAAGGGCGTGAAACTGACATGAAAGAGCGAAAACGAACAGCTGATTGCAGTTTCACCACGCAGTTGTCAAAGACTTCTGCGCTGCCCTCTCCACACAGCATCAAGAAAAACAAGCCAAAAAAGCTCAAGCGCACCCTTCATAATCCCAGTGGGGACTTTCTTACACACAGTCAGTACCAGTAAAATAACTCTCATCAGTCACTGGGACACAAACACCCATCAGTGTTTTTACAGTGTAACTGCTGAGTGACTTTTTACCATTTTATTTTGTGTCAAAACATTTTATTATAATGGCTCTGTGAGCTTTTTAATGGTGAAAAGCATGTCATCAAAACAAACAATGATGGATGATTTTAATACTTTTTTTTTTCACAATAAAAGTTTCTGAATACTAAAGTCACTATTCATTTAATAAGTAATTATTTCAAAGAAATGTATTTTCAGCTATGCAAGTTAACACCGCATTGAATATATATCAACAATCTGCTTGGGAGTTTGCTGTTTGGAGTTTTAATTTGACCTCAATACCATCTAACCCAGTGGTCCCCAACCCCCGGGCCTCGGACCAGTATCGGTCCGTGAGTCGTTTGGTACCGGGCCGCGAGAGTTGAGACTCAGGTGTGAAATGTATGGTTTTCAGGGTTTTTATCGGTTTTCAGCGTTATTTTGTTATCGTTTTTATCGTAAACTCTGTTTTCCTGGGTCTTTTCACGTGTGTTATGAATAAATCTTTTTTTCGGTACTGGTACTAGTTTTATTTTGTTGTATTTAAAGCTTAAAGGCTGGTCCGTGAAAATATTGTCGGGCATAAACCGGTCCGTGGCGCAAAAAATGTTGGGGACCACTGATCTAACCTGATGAAATGATAAATTATTTAGCTTTTCCATGACTGGGTTTTTAACTTTACTCTATGGCAGTCTGTGTAGTTTACAGTATTGATCTGTGTTTTTATGCTTAAGTAATTTAAGCTTCTCCAGCTCCATAGTCAACATCCATTGTCCAGTATATCCACTATCTGCTGCACATGTCCAAACCATCTCATTCTTGCGTCTCCAGCAAGGATGCTGCTGCCGTCATCACTTCTTCTTGATACTTGAATGGTACTCATGGCCATTGGTCATGAGTATTTGCATGTTAATGATCAAGGAACTGACCTCCCAGCCCATTGTTCCTTCAGTGGTGCTAGTTTCAGTTATTATGCAAAAGTACTGTTTATAAGATTGGGGAAACGTGCGGTCAGCTGAGTCTAAAGAAGTGACCTGGATACGTTTCTCCCACTGAAAACGCTGCGTCTAGATGAACAGGATCCTCTTTTGGGTGTTCTATATAAGATGTAGTCCACCGGTGTGCACTTCCTTCAATTCCCTCCATGCATCACCCTATGTTCCTCTCTCTTGTTGAAGTACTTATTATAGAATAAGTACTTAAACAATTATTGAATGAGTGTGCTTGTTTTGTTCTGTGACCCATTCATTCATTACTCAAAGCTTTCCAACCAAGTCCTCTTTGGTGACATCTGGTGTCCAAAAATATGTTGAGCAGCTTGAATCTACAACTTGATATGAACTGCTTCACTATGATTGCCCACTCGATAGGGTTAAATTGATAGCTTCTCTTTAATATCACGTGACTGTTCTGTGTGATATTGGGCCGTTGTGGTGCTTTGAACATATATTTTTGGGGGTGAAAAAGATGATTTTGTGTCTTTTGATTACTAAATGATTTTAAGAAATATACCTTTGTTGTTTGAACATGTGCCCCAGAATACCTGGAAAAACATTTTTGCAAAAAACATCCAATGCAGGAAGGCACAAGATGCAAAAAGAAATGTTAATAGTTCCACTGTAACTTGTCCTGAGGAAGACTGACTGTGGAGCAGAGCCAAGTAACTGTGTCAGTCTCTCTCTCCTCTCCAGTGAGGAGAGAGAGACCATTACAAAGTAAGTATATAAGAGAACGAAAAAAAAGTGACAAAAATAAAATAAAACCCGAAAAAATATCAAACGAAACCTCGAATTGAAGAAATTGAGGTTCAAATACAATTAAGTATGACACTGTAACAAAAATATTTTACTTAATGGTAGCATGTTAACTTCAGTCATTGTGATTCATTGGTACAGTATTGACAGTTTAGCAAAAATATTTCTTTGGGAAAAGAAAACTACGGAAACACTGACTGAAGTGAAGCTTAGCAACTGTTTTAATTCTTTTGCCCACATATACATGTATACATAGATATGTTTTATATTGTAAATTATAAGGGTAGGCACCCTTTGCTTTGTTGACAGCGCTGCAAACTTTGCCTTCTCTCAATAAGCTTCATGGTGTAGTAACCTGAAATGGTTTTCACTTCACAGGTGTGTCTTGTTAAGGTTCATTTGTGTAATTTCTTGCCTTCTTAATGGGGTTGGGACCATCAGTTGTGCAGAAGTCAGGACTGTCAGTTATGTACCAACCAACTTTTAGAATTCATATTATGGCAAGAACCAATCAGCAAAGTCCAGAGAAACGATAGTCCATCATTATTTTAAGAACTAAAGATCAGTCAGTCTGAAAAATTGCTAAAACTTTGAATGCGTCTTTGTGTAGCTGCAAATACCATCAAGCACTGATGAAACTGGCTCAAATGAGGACCACTCCAGAAAAGGAAGACCAAGAGTCAGCTCTGGGGCTGAGGATAAATTCATCCGAGTCACTAAATGGTAAATGGCCTGCATTTGTATAGCGCTTTTCTAGTCCATAGGACCCCAAAGCGCTTCACACTACATTCAGTCATCCACCCATTCACACACACATTCACACACTGGCGATAGCAAGCTACATTGTAGCCACAGCTGCCCTGGGGCGCACTGACAGAGGCGAGGCTGCCGGACAAAGGCGCCACTGGGCCCTCTGACCACCACCAGTAGGCTAGCCTCAGAAATTGCAAATTAACAGCACCCCAGAGCCCAGATAAATGCCACACAGAGTTTGAGTACCAGACACATCTCTACACCAAATGTTCAGAGAAGACTGCGCAAATCAGGCCTTTATGGTCAAATAGCTACTAAGGAAAAGCAAGCAGAGATTTGTTTGGGCCAAGAAACAATTTGAGTATCCACATGCAGCACAGCAAACCAGTGAGGGCTGTGGTTTGCCATTTCTACATCATTGTGGTTGCCAAATCATTTTAATATGACCTGCCTGACAAAGTGGAGTAGACCAAAAGATCCTCAAAAGCCAGACATCATGTCGTGATCCAAGGTAATTCAGGAACAAATGAGAAACAAATTAACTGAGATTATCAGTCCGGAAAAGGTTATAAAGCCTTTTATAAAAGCAAAAAAAGAAGCTTTGGACCCCTTAAGTGTTCATGACTCCAATATAAGAAAGAGACTGTTGGCAAAAATGGCCCGCATAGCAGTGTTCCAAGATGAAAACCATCGCTAAGGCAAAAGGAACAAAGTCTCATCTCAATTTTGCCAGAAAATATCTTGATGACAGGGTCGCCACCAAAATTGACCCCCCAGCTCCCCCTGGCAAGTCTGACCTATGTTAATAATTTTAATAAACATAAGCACAGAGAAAGACACCCGACAATGAGTTGAAAGATTAGCTTATTTATTCCTACATATACAATTTGCCATTTGTATTGTCACTTTGTATGTTCCTCACAATTTCTCATCATCCTCCAATGTGGTTGAATTACAATTTCTCCTTCATGCTAACACTAGTATTGGTGTCATCCATTGGTGAGAACAATGTTAACATACTGTACAACCAAATTAGTTCCTAGAACTTAAATTATGCAAACTCATTGCCTCAAAACAAAAAAACCAAACAAAAACCCACAAGTAAAACTTGATAACCAAGCTAGGACAATTTATTCATGGAGTACCCAGTACTTAGAATAATTTGATTTTTCTGAATTAAACCTATCCACATAGAAATCGAATGCAACTAGATCACATTATGTTTTATTATCCTCGAAATTAAAGACATTTTGTAATGCAGTTGAAATCAGACCAACTTTTATTTTCAAATGCAAAAAATATTTATTAGTCAACATACTGGACACATTAATGACAAACAAGTATATTCCCACTATTGTAGCTTGTGTTATTTAATTATACTTCAAATATTATCAAATTCCATCTATCCATCCATCTTCATCCGCTTTATCCGGGGCCGGGTAGCAGGGGCAGCAGCCTAAGCAGAGAAGCCCAGACCTCCCTCTCCCCAGCCACCTTCTCCAGCTTATCCGGGGGAACACCAAGGCGTTCCCAGGCCAGCCGAGAGATCTAATCTCTTCAGCGTGTCCTGGGACATGCCCGGAACACCTCACCCAGGAGGGATCCTTATCAAATTAAATTTTCATTTGTGTTAAACAATTTAAAACTTTAATAACCTTACAAAAAACCAAAACCAAAGTCTCAGATTGAACCCAAGTTTAAGCAGTTCTGCTCAGTCCAGGCATTAGAGCCTGAAAGACTGTCATGGATTAAGGTAATGAAAATGCAGTGATCGCAGCAAGTTCAACTTCCCTTATGTACAGTGACAGTGAATGTGGGATGGAGATGCAATGGTCTTGAATCTGCAGGTGACTTTCTTCACTGAACACCATCTGTGACGGAGGGCTCGTCTCTCCTGGTATCCTATAAGGAAACAATCATATTCTTTAGAATGCCACATTACATTTGCTCTTCTTAAAACATTTTTTTTCCTGCATTTGCTACAGAACAGACCTCAAGATAGACAATCGAGCTGAATCATTGCACTGTTACAAAACATCCATCCATTTTCTTCCATTTATCTGCAGTTGGGTCCCAGAGGCAGGATCCTAAGCAGAGCACCCCAGAACTCCCTCTGCCCAGCCACCACCTCCAGCTTATCCAGGGGAACTCCTCCCAGTGGGACATAGACAAAACCTGCTGGTACCCTTCGGTCAATGAAAGAAAAAGTCACAATAGTCACAGAACTAACTAATCTGACTAAAGTAATAATAAAAGTTCTATGAATGTTAACCAACGAACGTCTATCGTTCGAGCGTGTATCAACATGGACCAGAGGAAGTGAAAGGAAAGATGTCTCAGGAGATAAGATAGATAATCATAGACAAGCATGTTAAAGGCAAAGGCTATAAGACAATCTCCAAGCAGCTGGATGTTCCTGTGACTACAGTGCACATATTATTCAGAAATTTAAGATCCATGGGATTGTAATCAACCTCCCTGGACGTGGCCGCAGGAGAAAAATTGATGACCAATCAAAGAGACAGATAATCTGAATAGTAACAAAAGAGCCCAGAAAGACTTCTAAAGAGATCCAAGGTGAACTTCATGCTCAAAGCAAATCACTGTCAGATCGGACCATCTGTTGTTGTTTGAGCCAAAGTGGACTACATAGGAGATGACCAAGGAGGACACCACCAACAAATCACAAAAAGGCACATCAGCTCCATGTTCACAGAAGGAAAAATGAAGCATATCAAGAAAAGAACACTGTCCCTACTGTGAAACATGGAGAGGGATCTGTTATGTTCTAGGGCTGTTTTGCTGCATCTGGCACAGGGTGTCTTGAATCTGTGCAGGGTACAATGAAATTTCAAGACCATCAAGGGATTCTAGAGAGAAATGTGTTGGCCAGCGTCAGAAAGGTTGGTCTCAGACGGAGGTCATGGTCTTTGCAACAGGACAATGACTCAAAACATACAGCTAAAAACACCCAAGAATGTCTAAGAGGATAAAATTGGACTATTATAAAGTCTCCTTCTTGGAGCCCTGACCTCAATCCTATTGGGCATCTTTGGAAGAAACATGCTGTCTAGAAAAGGCGCCCTTCAAACCGGAAAATACTGGAGCAGTTTGCTCATGAGTGGACCAAAATACCTGCTGAGTTTTGCAGAAGTCTCATTGACAGTTACAGGAATAGTTTGATTGCAGTGATTGCCTCAAAAGGTTGTGCAACAAAATATTAAGTTATAAATTAAGTTATTAATAAATTTTACTTCCTTACTAAATATCTTGTTTCCCCACACTGAAGATTAACAATATATTGGAAAAGCAAAATACTTACCACTCAGTTGACCTCTTTCTGTCCAACAGCTCCTTT